CAAAATCATCACAGATGTTAACTAGGCATAAAATCTACTTTCCTCTATTCTCATAACAGTTTTTAGGTCCAATAGATGTGCTGTATGTTCCAGAGTATTAAAAAGGAACAGGGGCCAGCAAAGAGATCAGTTTTAAGGCAGCATCATCTTTACAATGAGCACCATGAACTTTGACTGGTACCAACATTTAAAAAATGTTTTGGTATTTTTTATTCCCCCGCCCCTCAGGTCATTTTATGTCCGTCTTTCATAAACTAACAGATTTTTACAACCAGATTAAACTCTTAAACAGCCAGATGTTAATCCCAACCCCCCTTTGACAAAACACATTCACCAATAGTCTTGTTGATTTACAAGTTTCTACTTTACAATAACTGCACAGTGATTTAGAACAAATTTAACCAACTTTAGGAAAACTGAGCTTACTCCATTATGCTTCTGCTGGCTATCCCCCCACCCCTTCTCTTCCAAGCTTTCCTGGCATTGAGCAGCAGGGACTATTAACATAACCACCATCTGTATGGCTGCCAGGAAAGCAGGAGATCAAAACCACCTTTGTAATGCAGCAAACTGCAGTAATGATCTCAGTTTCAACAAGCCAGCCGCCTACTGGTGAAAAACTTTAAAAAAATATATACAGCGAGTTTATTTCCTGGATGACCTCATTTTACACAGCATGGAAAAAATAAAGACAGATTATACTGCTACAGTGTCGGTGAGTGATCTATCTTTTAGGAGAAAGAAAAGTGGTAGGATTTTAGAAACTGTTTTAGATGTTAGTTAGCCATACCAATAGTTTCTTAAAAACTTTCATCCATTTCAGTTGTTCGTTTCTGTACTACACATTGGTGCTACAAGTGAATGGTCTGAAATGGGATACATTTAAACAGCATGTTTATTTTAGAATGCCTGTGTATAAACCATCTTTTAAAAACAGAAATTTCATGCCAACATTAGGAAAAAGTAAATTTTTAGAATAAAACGGAAACAAAAAAAACTTTCAGATAATAGTGCATTAGTGCCGTACTTTTTATTTCCAACTTCTGACTACTGCTTTTCTTATAACATGTTTTATAAATCAGAGGTCTGTTCTGTTTTTTGCCCATCCGCTTCCCCCGGTTCTTATCAGCACAGCAGAAGCCGTTCACATTAGCTGAATTTCTACCTCCAAGTTTCCACCCATTACTGCAGTCCTCTTAACTGGCCATCTGCTGTTCTTTCACACATCTTATTTTTTTGTCATTACTGACCATCAGTCTCATCTGCGAGAGGTTTTATCGTAATTATCTTCATTAAATACTCACAAAACAAACACTAAAACCAAAACAAAAGACAACAAAAAAGAAAAACTCACATGAGCCACGCTGTTCCACTGGCCAGAGACTTCCACATGCACATGTGAAGTATACATCTCTCCTGTTCTGTTGTCAGTTTCCTGCAAATAAAGAGCAATATACGAGAGACTTTGTGCAGCTTTGCTAAAGTTGAACAACAAAACAGCTTTTGCTTCCGATTTGGTGTTTTACAGACTCAAGCTTTCAAATGGGTTTGTCTGAAAAGAACCCACCTTGTCAGTTCGATCCAGGATCCGAGTCTCCCCGTTGTTGCCCTTTACCATCTTCCTGGTTTCATTGTGATAGCTGGGAGGCAGATCCATAGGGGATGAGGAGAATTTTGCACTTTCATTAGTTATCTGTTGGAGACAGTGCAATGATATTATGCCATTGTCCGGACCAGAAGATGACTCAACTCAGTGGGTTTAATGGACAAATGAAATTTAAGACAAAAAAAAAAAAAAAAAACAAACAAAAAAAAATCAAAAGGAAGGACCTAAAAATAATTTTAAGAAGACTTTAAAGAACAAAACTACGTGGGTCTCAACTTCAGAGACGATTCTTCATCCAATTTGTCAGTGTCTATTTTGAGGCTAAAACAGACTTCAACAGGCTGGGTCAGACAGACTTTCCCCAAACATCCAGCCGTGGAAACTCTGTGTAATCTGCCAAAAGCATTCTCAACCTTAGCAGAAACTTGACAAACTAAATACCACCCACATAGATTTTTACCCTTTTGTCACTTAACTTTTTACATTTTAAAATAATAATAATAATAAAAAGGACTAGAACGGATTTCAATGATAACATTTTTTCTCCGATATGAATAGATAAAACGTGACGCAGACCTTGTGCACCGCCTCGTCCAGCATATGCTGAGTGTCCTCCATCAGCTCCTCCACCTCCCTGAACATCTCGTTTAGACTAACCGGACCCCGCTCCATGGCGCCGGCCGTCCACAGTAAACACAGACCCCAGAACCCCAACAGCAGCATGGTACCGGACATCTCTGCTTCCTTCCACTACACAGACTGAGCTCAGCGTCTGAGCAGCAGACGACGCACAGCTGGCTCCGTTTTATTTGGAAAGTATGAGGAGGAGGAGGATGAGGAGGAGGAGGAGGAAGAGTGGTGGACAGGTGGGAGGGTTTAATGGGGTGGAAAAGCATCAGATTGCACTTGGAAAGGGTGAAATGCCAAAATCCACCTACTAGTTACTTTGTGGGATTTAAAAAGACAACATAACAATCTATAATAAACTGAAGTTAATAACACTGTTTTTGATCATTACCTTGTGGGGTTTTTATGTTCTGTAGGTCTTTCCTCATTCAGTTCAATTCTGAGCTCATTTTTGGTAGCTGTGAAACTTTGTCTTTGTGTTTCGTTTGTTTATTCTTGTTCTTTTATTTGTGCATTTGCGTTTAGTTTTCCTAGATGAGTGTTAGTCTTCATCCTTGGTTTGTAATTCTTTTGAGTATCTTAGCTCCCTTTGTGCTAATTATCTCCCTCCATTAGTGCCTCTCCACATGTTTCTTTTCTTTGTACCGAGTTTCATAGCTCCATTCTTTGCTCTGTTCTGTGTATTTCCGTGTAGTCCACTGGTTGATGTCCTGAAACTTTTTCATGTGTACTTTGTCCAACACACCCAAATCATATGGCTGAAAATTGCCTCAGTATGCAGTCAAGTTCTCCAGAGTCCTGCTAATTGATTCTGGGGTGTTGAAGCAGGGACACCAGCCTTCAAGGACTGAGGTTCATGACCAGCTGATTTAGTCTATTAGACCTTAACTTTTGATTAGTTGGACTCTTTGTTTCCTTTCTCTTTGTTTCCTATCTCCACCTTCTCTCAATTTCCTTTTTAGGTTCTCCGCCAGCTGTTTTGCATTCAGTTGATTGTCCTCATCTGGTAGCACAACCACATCTCTACACTGTTTACGCTCCTTGGTTTCTGTCTGCCGCTGTTGGAGTCTACTCCAACCTGTGTCCTATGCTTCTTTTTCTTATTTCTCCAATTTCCATTATAAGATCTGCACCATGTGTCTGCTGTTGCATTGTTACAATTTGAGCCCTCCTTGACACATATCAAACATGATACTCAGCATATTCTTCATTTGAAAAGATGAAGAATATGATTAAAATAGAATGATGTAATTCGGATTACTTCAATGAACCTCAAGGACATAGTAGGACATGGTTAAATCCGAGACCCAATGAGGAAATGTCTTTCAAGAAGTTGTAGCAACGTTACATCACCACTAGGGGGCAGCGTACGACCAATAAATTCAGCAAAATCAAATTAGAACTAAGTGTTCAATTTGAAATTTAAATAATTTAGACTTGGTGCATATACACCATTATATTTCCTTTTAATATTTAATTAACATTTTTGATATGTTAAAAAAACTAAAAATATATATTTTTTATTAATTTAACTGTTGCAAATACTAAAGGAGCCACTTTGTGTGTCTTTTTAATCTGTGATGAAGAAAGCAGAGCAAACTCTTCTTGTGAACTTTGTGGCTCTATTTAAATATCTGTTGATCGGATGGAGTAGTAGTCAGACACCCTTTTCAAGTTCTCACTGGTTGTGTAAAGTTGCATAGAAATAAACACAAAACCAGTTCCGAACAGGTGGTTTGTTGCATTTCAACATAAAACTCTCAAACATTGTTTAAGCAGTGCAGCTATAAATCGCTTTAACCTTTCAGTGAATAATCAGAGCATCACATTGAAGACAAAACACTTATTTCACTTTAAACAAAAACAAAATCTAGTCCATCAACATCATCTTGTCATTTATTTATAACGTTTTATAAATGATCTTATTGCAATAGATTTAACTTTAGAATGAGCATTGGTAGGCTGCTTCTAACAATTCATATCAAATAAATGCAACTGGAGTATTGTTTTTTAAATTATACGTCACTTTTTCAAATTCATTAGAAGGTACAGCAGAACCACAATCAATCACCGTCTGTTCATCAGGGGATATAAATGGCATGCCATTGCCACTATCTTGTCTACACACACAGACACACACACACAATGAGTAGTAAGAGCGGAAAAATATCCAAAGCTCACCATTAGAGAGTGGCATCAATTTCCTCTAACAACAATCAGTCACTTAATAAAAGCTATTACCATCACATGCACACATGTGGAGTTTAGTAAACAGTCAGATAAGACTAAAATTTAAATTTTAGGCACAAAATTACAGCTGTCAGGTTTGGAATTCAACAAAGCAAGAATAAATAGACAATACCTCATGCTGTTAAGTACAGTTAAGGGTCTGTGATGCTGTGGATCTGTATCTCCTCCAAAGACCCAAGTAGATGATAGAGAGATTTAATTAAAATTAAAGGTTGGATTTATCTGAAGGTTTGTATTGTGAGTTAATGCTCCTGGAACAAAACACTGATTTGTTTTATGGCTTTTTACAATTTATATGGAGTTCCAATAACTTCATTTTTTTGAAAATAATATATCATTTTAATGGTTACAAACAATCCCCCTCGTATAGAAAAGCGGTTTTATTTAGCATTTCAGTATTTTGTGCTCTATGATGTTATTTAATTACTTATTAAAAGCTTTTCATTGGAATTGGATGTATTAATGTAGTTCCTGAGGGACTTTTATTGTGGAAACCAGTAAGCGGAAGTTGATTTTCTGGTCTTGACAGAAGAGTTGAAGTCAGAGTTGGTCTCTCGGTGTGTGTGCAGGAGTTGTGCGGCTGTCAGAAGAGCAGGTCGCCTAAAAGAAACCCTTGCTGCTGCTGGTGGGGAGGCTGTGTTTCATCGCTCCTGGAGGTTAGTGTTTTGGTTTTCAGCCGAGTTTGGCGTAGAACTGCGGGTTGGTGCTGCTTTGTTTCAATGGAAGAAGACTAAAAGCCGCACTTTGACTGAGCGTCAGTGCACGACTGAACGCTTATCAGGAATGCTTCTTTGAAATGCCTCCTAACTCACAGACTGCCTTCCTGCTTGGCAGTTAATGCCACGCTGACTATGACCTTTATTCACATGAATGTTATTAATTTGTTTGTATTTATACGCAACTGTTTGCTCAGGGAATTGAGTGAGGAGGCTATAGAAAGCTGCTCCAATCATAGTCGGCCAGGATGATGTGATTGGAACTTAGTCTAAAAACACGAAACCTATTCTTCCCAAATTTAACACATTTCTTCATTTCATTTTTCAGTTTTATAAAACGTTGATAAAAACCAAACAAGCAAAAACAAAGAAACAAACAAAAAGCAGAAAAATTTGAATACATCTAAACCACAATATGTTTTGACTTTATATGTGAACGTGGAATGTGAGTACTGTTTCAAGAAATGGTCTCTCTCAGACATGCTTGTTTTTTTATTTTATTCCACAGTTTTTTGTCCGATTCCTGACAATTGTTATATATTGCGATATTCAGCAAACGATACAATTCAATACACTTTTGCGATTTTCTGAAAGATTTTAGAGGGACAGAGTGATTGTGGTGACATTTTGTGACTATTATAGACTTGGATTGAATTAATTTAACTGAAAACTGATTAAAAGCACAAACTACACAATACTTGGCTCTGGTTGGACATGGACACAGACTTAAAGTTGATAGCTGGACAAAATGAATCAAAGAAGTGGTGAGAAAACATGTTTCTTTTAATTGACACAGTACAAACTGTAGCTTGCATGCATTTGCAAAGTAAATAAAGTGCACCAAGTACCCTTCTCTGAATAGTTTGATACCTTTTTAACCTTGACACTTAACATCTGAAGGAATCACTCTAAGCCTGATGACTCTCCCGGGAAAGCAAGCAGTGAGTGAGCAAGGTGACAGTTGGATGGTACGATACTTGCGGAAGAATATCGATTTTTTTCTAGGAAAGAAAATATCGATATATATTGCAAAATCGATATTATTACACAGCCCTAGCTGTTCCCCATTTGCTGCTTCTGTCAGTCTATCGTCGAGATAAGGTTTATGCTCTAAAAATTATGTCTGTAATTGATAAGACTATTGATGAGATGTAAATGAGCAGCAGCTGTCACAAGGAGATTATAGTTGCTGAATGAATGTGTCGGTCAGAAGCAGCTTGGTCAGCGCAAACGGCTTACAGGTCATAGGTCGGATTGGTTAAATCCTTATTAAATGGCGTTTCTAACAGTAAAAGACTAACTACTGGTTTGCTGTTGATTTGATACCATTAGATGTAATTACTATAGCCTTGTTTACTACCAAGCAGGAACTGATCAGTGCTGCAATCAGAGAACTTCAGTTCTAGCAGATAACTTTTTCCTGTTTTTCAGGAAGTCGGGACGCAAAATTTCATTTTAAAATTACGCTTGTTTGCTGTGTTGCAAAGTTTAACAGTGGCTTGTGTCTGCACATGTGACACAAACTTCAATTCAATTTAACACAGAAAATTTTATCCCAAAAAGAAACTAAGTGTTATCATAACGCATATTATCCAAGTATCTTCAAAGAGTTGTTGTGGATCATGAGGCTGTGGGCAGGAAAGATTTATGGTAGCAGTCAATCTTGCAACAAACTTAAAAAAACCTCTGAGTTTTGCTGTATGATTGCAACAACATTCAACAGAAATAACATTAGTTGTTGGTAAGCCCTGCAAATCCACTTTATTTAGGTCAGAACTGACCTTGCATACATGCAAGATGTTTCAGCTAGAAGCTGATTGTAAAAATCCAGAGAATTTGTTGGAGTTTGTGTGTCCTCCATCATCAGAAATTATTTTCTTTTCAGAAGCAACACCTAAATATATTAATAGGTTCTAGCTTTAAGACATTTTTAGATTTTCCTCTATTTGAACATCAGCTGATATGCAGTGTCCACTGGCCCAGCACGGCTTCTTGTTTACAATATATCACTGTAGCAAAAGAGGAAAAGTATATGTCAGAGTTGACACCTATTAAACACAGCACATAATACAGGAAAGACAAGAGAAAGTTAGATTCTGGTTACTCGCGAGGAGAACAGACAGAGATGTGCTTTCAGTTACAAATCTCCTGCTGCTCTGAAGCACATTTGCCTGCCCCTCTCTTTAGGATCCCTAATCACAGAGAGCGCTGTAACTCTAAGGGGAGGGGAAAAGACACTTCATCACACAGTCACAGCGCCAAGATTATCGCTAACTAACAACACAATCTATCTCGCACTAGCTTATCCAGTTCCTGACCCAGGATCAAGCAGGACAAGTTGTACATCTTCACGGCGATGGTTTTATAACTATCTAAGAGGTTAAAGCAGGCCGTTCTGTGAAGAGCTGCTGTCACTGCTCTTCTTCAGAGAGGCCTCCTCTGAGGAAGGAAGCAGAGTGATTAACAATACAGAAACATTTCTTAAAAGATATGACTAAACTAAATAAGTAAGAATACATAAACTAAGAACATAATAAAGATATAACAAATAATTGATAATAATACAATTTACCTAACAAGTATATCAAAGTGGATCATTTTGCAGAAATATTTTGAGGGCTCTTTGTGGGATGGCCTTTCCTCATGACTTTGACATTGAGGGAGAAAAGACAACACCCACTTTAAATTACAAACCGCTACTTGATCTCAAATTGTTTATTGTTAAATTGAAGCTTAATGCCACAGTTGGTCATGTTTGTGACCCTTAGACAATTTGGGTTGCTTTTCTTTCCTAAAACAGAAAACTGACAAAAATATTTGACGTATTTTGGCGTAAAGGCAAAATAAAGTTTGAGTTTTAGCACAAAAATAAATATTGAAGACTAAGAACTTTCAAATTTCACTCAGGAAAAGTTGAGCTTTTATTATTTTTAAGATGGCATTCACATCACTGGAGCTTCTGAACCAAATTTGAAATTTGACTTGGAAAATTGCAGCACCCTGAACAATTTTTAAAAAAATTCTTAATTTATCAGATCGGATATTAAAGACATTCTTTTAAGCCAAAAATGATTGGTGTTGGAATCAGCTGCAGTCTACATAATATTTACTTCTTATCTCGGTTGAAGTTTTCATGCAGAAAAAAAACCCTTCTATTTATTGCTAGCAAGTTTTTGTCTGACTTGTTGATCATGACGTGTCCTAGCTCATCATCTCCAGACAGTTTTCAGAAAGCGTTCGGCCTCCTCTGCATGAGAAACTTGGCGCTTTGCTGTGGAGGTTGTAAACTGAAGTGTGTCAGTAGTGCTGCGGACAGGTTTTCTGGGACAGCTGAGGATGTCTGAGCCATATGATCTGACCGCGGCGTACAGAGCCATTCACCCGACACAGACCGGAAGCAGCAGTCTCTTTGACCATCAAGAATTAAAAACAATTTGGAATGGAAAATCCCTGAGTAACCAGGTCATCAGAATAATTTGCACATCTTACTTCACTTGTTCAAGACTCGCACAAAAAAAAACAATAATAAGGATGCACTAATTAATCAGACAGAGACTAGTATCTCCCATTTTACCCTGGATTGGCTTGGATCAGTGATTTTGTTAAAATGTTTGAAAAGTTATATTTTTCTTCTTTTCATTTAATTTTAGAAGTTTTTGTAAATGATTTATTTTACAATAAATGTAATTTTGATGGGCTGCATGGTTAAACAGATGGTAGCACTGCTGCCATCCACCAATAAGGTCCCGGGTTTGAATTCTGGCCTGCGGTCTTTCTCCATAGAGCTTGCATGTTCTCCCTGTGTGTGAATGGTTTTTGTCCAGGTACTCCTTCCTCCTACAGTCCAAAAACATGACGGTTAGGTTTAATTAGTCTTCTGAGCCGCCCGAAAGTAATGGACTGCTGACCTGTCCAGGGTGGGCTCCGCCTCTTGCTCATTGACTACAGGAGACGGGCATAAGCCCAGTACATCCTAATCAGTTCTGATTAGTCTCAATGTGCATGTTGTCTTAGTGTTGCTCCTTTTTTTTCCAGTTGCCTTGACATTTGAAATCCAATTGGCACCAAATCTTTCTCCACTCATTCATGGAATGCTTCTCTACTTTCATCGGCTCTCTGCTGCCGACCCTCTCGATTTTAATCTCGAACTGTTTCATGCTGGTGTTTACTTCTTATCGGTGGCTTGATGCCTCTGGGCCAGAGAGGGGGGAAAATGACTAGTTGCACAAGCTGTCACTTCCTGGAATAAGCTTTTGACTTATAAGGGGGTGTCGCTGCATATATGAGCTCAGGGGTGTCAGCAGCAAGACAAAAATACACCAGGGAGCCAAACTTCACCGTCACTGGCTGACCAGATGGGCTGCTGTCAAACGAGAAAGGCCAAGTTGAGTTTCAGGGTGTCAGAGGATTTTGTAAAGGTTTAGATCCAACAGCCGAATGGAGATTTCTGCATGGAATCTGTGGATTAACACCTTTAACTTTTAATGCGAGACTCAATTTAATTATTTTATGACGATACCATTAAAGATATTGTAAAGCTAAAGCTGAGTATTTTGCATTGGATTGACCAACTTTGGAAGGTGCTTAGTGACACTGAAATGGATACGTTAGTTCAAGGAACAAGCTTTAAATATTTTAGGTTAATTGTGACAAAGAGATTAAATAAACAGCCTATTAGCACAAAAGAGGTTTTATACCCATTCAGATCCAGGTTGAAAAACAAATGCTGGCCAAATTAAATAAAGTAATTTAATAATCGTCCAGGAAAACTAGTGGTATGGTTGTTGTTGGGTTTATCTGGAACCGTCCTCTGAAAGGGACGAATCTTTCACTGAACTCTAATCAAAGCAGATTTGTCTTGTTTAATCCATATACCTCTAACTTATTGAGGACGAAGTAACGCAGCCTCAAAATTGGAACAAAACATTTTGAACAATAAA